GTGGCTGGAGGAATAACTGATGTGATCTCTTTGGAGAGCAATTTGATTATATATTGTAACTTAAAATACAAATATTCTTTGACTCTGTAATTCCTACTTCTTGGAACCTCTCCCACATGTGCTCACATAGGTGCCGAGAAACAAACACACTGTGGCTTTTTTGCAGGAGCAAAAGATTGGACATTTGTGTTGTTTCTAGCAGGGGGCTGGGCAAATGATGGTGGGACACAAAGCCTCATAACGGACCTGCCGACTGAGCAGGTCTCCACCCACCAGTTCCATTCATGGACTGCCTCCTGCATGCCCAGAACTCCAGCTCCCACCTGTGAGGGTACACACTTACCCCCAAACCTGTTTATGCCAGCCCTACTTGTTCATGTAACCACATAATTTAAGAATGCAAAATAAGGAAAGAAGAGTGAAATGTTTCTACCAATATTAAATTTATCACATTGAAATTCTCAGTAAGGGCAGGTTGCTTTAAAAAAAATTATGTCAAGTAAAAAATTTTTTAAAAACCTCAAGGAATCTGACATTCTAATTGCTCTGTGTCTAAGTTCTTGATCCACTTAAAAGAAAATGATGTTGAATGCCCTAGATAACATAGTAGGAGTTTGGTTTACATAAGAAGAGATTATGTAGAATCCAATCAGCAGACCCTGAGAGACAAGGTCTCAGCCCTGGACCCGTGATTGGGGGTGAATGAGTGTCCCTCCCTCAACCATACAGCCAGTGTCCTGTCGACTCAAGAGCAAGGGTACATTGATATATAGTCAGCTGTGTTAGAGAGAGAAACATGTCTATATGTGCATAAACTATCTATGATCTGCTACTTGTAGGATATCCAAGCCACCCAGAATAGAAAAACAGGGAGCACAGAGCCAGGCACCAGGAAACACCAGCATTCGAAGCTGGGTAAAGGAGGGGGGACTGTTCCGAAGGACTTGAAAAAGTAGCAATGGTATTAAGTTGGGAGGTGAGCACATGTAAAAACAGCATATATTTCTTATACACCAAAAAAAGGTGTGTTTTAATAGGTTTAGAAATTACTGATAGACATAGGCTAAGTGCTCCTGAGAGTCAGCTGCAGGAGAGGAATGGCTCTGTATTATATGATGCTCCTTACTTTTTCCGTGGATACTTCTGTTTGGAGAGGGAAACAAAGCGGTACTATTAAGCAGCATCTGCTACTACAAATCAGCAAAAGGCAGGGTCACAAAAATTACTTTCTTCACTGTTTTTATTAGACCCTGGTATCGGCAAGAGGTCTGAATTAAGACATCTTTGTTGTTCATTTCCCTGGGAGGGACTGCTGATGACAGAGAAGAGGAGGACTTACACAAACCCTTTAATTTAAAGCCCCTGGGAATTGGAAGCTACCCAAGACTGTCTTTACGTATCTGGAGAGCAGTACAGAAGGGGTGAGTTCTGCCCAGCTCCCAGCACGTACAGCTAGGAAAAGTGAGCGATAGGAAAAGACTGCGGAGACACGTCTCACCTCAGCATAAAGAGAGTGAGCAAGCCTCATGGGACTTGCTCTCAACACACTGGGCCCAGCTGCTCTCACCAGGCACACCGGCACATGGCAACCACTTGCTTAGACCACTCCTCACGGTCTAAGCCAACCACTGCTTCCGGGTGGAAATGGATTCTGTGACCCTTGGGTCATCTGTGTCTCTGAATGCCATGGTAACAGGTTTCAAAGCAGCAACAGACTGGGGGCCACAGCAAGCCCCACCTCAGGGGAAGGTAGTGTGGGAAGAGGACAGCAAAGGCAGGACGGGGACCAAACACCTGTAGAGGATGGCTCTGGCAATAACCCCCTCAGCCCTACAATTAAAAAAATACTTTTGATTTTCTGACTATAAATCCCATTAAAACTATAAGAAACAAAATAATTCTAAGGGCAACAACTTATACTTGAAAAATGTTTTTTCTTCCTACAATTTACACAGGAAAGGTCTATGACCTAGACTTTTAGCTTGTACTTAGAAAACATTATGCTACAGATACAAAGTTAGCTCAAGCCATAGGTAGAAATACCTAGGAACTGGAACCAGTCCCATCCAAATGGAAATGTAATGCTTCTCTATAAAGAAACAAACATCAGAACAATCAAGTCTTCGGATTCTCCCCTGTCCAGGGTATTAAGCCCCGGCAGACACTCGAAGTGTCTGGTCATGTCACATCTCTTCACTTGGCCCGTTTTCTCATTTGTCATATGAGGAGGTGGGACTCCATTCTCTCTTCCAGTGCTGTCTTTCTGAGTCTGCTCTAGGGAGTGAACTTCACTTTTAGATGTAAAGAATTGCTGGTATAGCTGTTCCCCGCAAAGAACTAACTACTTCAACATAAAGGTGCCCTACTACAAGCCCAACGTACAGACCAAAGCAGATGTGTTTTACTCCGTATCCTGGACTCAGAGCAGGCCATCATGCTGCCAGAGCATCTGGGGAGCAGCAACTGAGACATTTCACCTGTCACAGAAGAAAGGTGGGCAGGGCAACAACAAACGGTTGCCCCACTATTAGAAAACCGGCACTAACCAAAGAGGGATACAGGGCAAAGACAACCTGTTTATGGCTCCACAGAGAGCCAAGGGTAAGAAACAGGAGGGCAGCAGGGCCCAGATCAGCATGGCAGCCCCAGACTCAGGAGTACCCACTGAGGCCAACTCCAAGCAGATATCAGACAGCTAACTTGGAATGGATTCTACCTATTGTGTGAAGGAAGGACTGATTACACAGAAGGGTAGTAGCAGAAACAGTAAGAAATAAAAAGGTAACAAAGTCTGGAAACAACCACACCTTCATTAAGGAGGAGGAGGACTGAACAAATCATGCTATATCCATGCAATTGAAGTAACATGCAACATAAAGAGCATGGGAGAGATTTCCACCCACTAGTACGTGTGGTCTCCAGGGTATACAGTTAATAACAAAGGCAACAGAGGACTGCAGGTGCAGAGTATGCCACCTTCCCCGAAGAATCAGAAATACGGTGTGTCTACACACACACACACACACACACACACACTAGAAGGGAGGCGGAAAGGAAGCCACATCCATCTGAATACACCACCATTCACAGTTTTTCTAGTACCATATAAATCACAGAAGTACAAACTCTAGAAATAAAATATGTCCTGTTTCTTCATCTGGATGCTGGTTCTATGGATGGGTTCAGTTAGTGATAATGCATTGATCCATATACACTAAAGACTCGTATCACTCTCTATGTTTGTTATACTGCAATAAAAAATTCACTAAAAAAATTGAAACAAATCTAACAATGTCATATTGGTGGCATAAACATCAGAGAAAAGGTAACTAAAACACAATAATAATTTGAAAGCATAGGGGCACCTGGGTGGCTCAGAAGGTTAAGCATCTGCCTTCGGCCCAAGTCATAACCCCAGGGTCCTGGGATCCAGCCCCACATCCGGCTCCTGCTGAGCAGGGAAGCCTGCTTCTCCCTCTCCCTCTGCCTGCTGCTTCCCCTGCTTGTACACTCTTTCTGTCAAAAATAAATACAATCTTGGGGCGCCTAGGTGGCTCAGTCGTTAAGCGTCTGCCTTCGGCTCAGGCCATGATCCCAGGGTCCTGGGATCAAGCCCCGCATCGGGCTCCCTGCTCAGCGGGAAGCCTGCTTCTTCCTCTCCCACTCCCCCACGTGTGTTCCCTCTCTCGCTATGTCTCTGTCAAATAAATAAATAAAATCTTTACTAAATAAATAAATAAATAAACAAATACAATCTTAAAAAAAGAAATTTGACAGCATATTCCAAGTGAGACGGATATATCCTGCTAATGTTAGCATTGTTATTCCAAAAATGTTAAATGGTAACATTTAAGTAATCAGGTAATCAAGTTAACATCCTTAAGAACCAGGATTTTTGGCATAAGATACACACTGAAGTAAAAATCATGTAAATATTTATTTGAATATTTATTTGAACGGGAAATGTCCATATTCATGATTATTTCCCAAGTCTGTCTACTATGAGAAACTGAAAATTAATAAAGGGAAACCTCACTAAGCTGGAGTGGGGAGGATAAAAGGGGGAGCCACACCACTCAATGTCAATTATAGGAAGAATTGTCTATTACAGACCCCAACAGGGAAGGACATACACTTTATCTCTTACAAGAAATCGACCACCCCTGCAACTAAGCCAATGAGGAACTGACATCCTGAATCCCCAACTCCTGCTTCTCTCCAATGGACATTCCTTCAAAACAACCTCTCCCACCTTCCTCCTCCTTCTTTAGAAAATAAAGTTCCTCTTCTTTGTTGGACTTGCCTACCATTTTGCCATAGCTTGCACGTCCGGAATTGCAATTCTGTTGTTCTTGAATAAATCCATGTTTGCTGGTAAAATAACTGACTGATTTACTTCTATGTTTAACACAACAATAGTGGCAGTGAGCATCCCTACCTAGCACATGGGCTGTGGCATCCAAACACCATTTGCCACTAAAAGGAACCAGGTTCCTCAGAAAAATGGCTCATCTCAGATGTAGAGCAGAATATGGACAAGGTGGGACATCTTGCTGTGGCAGAAAGGCAGGTCACAGACAGATGGGGTCATGTCCAAAGAACACAGAAGCCAACTTGGGGAAACAATACGAGCTTCAAAAAATGGCTTAAATGGGCCAAAACACAATTATATACATACCCATAAGTTGATAATACTAGGAGAAATAAAGCCACAAAAATGCATTGTCACTTTGGAAGCAGCTAGTCCCAGTGCATTCTTGACAATGATAAAGGAAAGGAGGAGCCACACTTCAGGGTAATCAGAATTGAGAAGGGAAACCTTCTTTACAGGAGAATCAACTAATAAATGTAGACACAGAAACAGAAAATTCTTGGGCACCTGGGTGGCTCAGTTGGTTAAGCATCTGAGTCTTGGTTTCAGCTCAGGTCATGATCTCACAGTTGTGGGATCGAGCCCTGCATCGGGCTTTGCGCTCAGCATGGAGTCTGCTGCAGATTCTCTCTCCTCTCCCTCTGCCTCTCCCCACTTGTACTAATTAAAACAAAACAAAACAAAACAAAACAGAAAATTCTTCATTTTGCAAATGCCAATTGTACACTAACTCACTGTCCCCAAAGATATTCAGGTCATTCATTATTCCTGGAGCCTGTGAAAGTTACAGAGGAATTAAGTTAAGAATACTGAGATGGAGCGATTACCTTGGATTATACAGGTGGGACCTAAATGTAATCACAAGTAACATTAAAACTGTGTACTTTAAAGATGGAGGGAGGGGTCACAAGGAATGCAGGCAGCCTCAAGAAGCTGGCAAAGGCAAGAAATGGATTCTCTCCTAGAGCCTCCAGAAGTAGACCCTGCTGACACCATGACTTACCCCAGTAAGAGTGACCTTAGCCAAGTCTGCGGTAATTTATTATAGCAGCAAAAGGATACTAAGACACCAATGAAATGGACACAAGCAAAATGGCTATGAAACCCATTAGAAGACTGGCTGATAGAGAGCTCCTATAAGGAATGGTCAGCCTGCTGACACCGTACCCTCTGATCACTGTAACATCCAAAATGACAGCCACAGATCGTGCCTCCTGGGACACTGCAATACGGTACACAGAACAATCCAGGATATATTCTTGACACCACCTCTGCATCTCCCACTCCACACAGCCCTGAAAAAAAACAAAACAATCAAACCTGGAACAAATTAAGCATTTAGACATGTAAGTTTATAGAAATATGAGGATCACAGAAATGCACTACATACCACAATATAATCAACCCAACCCAGAATGTGGGGAATTCCACAGCACCAACGGCCCTATAGCTTTCATAAATAAATGGCATTAAAAAAAGAGAAGAAAAAAACTGTTACAGATTTTAAAAGAGACAAAAGAGGGGGCGCCTAGGTGGCTCAGTGGGTTAAGTGTCCAACTCTTGATTTCAGCTCAAGTCATGATCTCAGGGTCATGAGATCTATTAAGCCCGAGTTGCAACTTGCTTTGTTGAGTTGGGCTCACATGGGTCTCGGTGCTCAGTAGGGAGTCTGCTTAACATTCTCCCTCTGTTCCCTGCCCCCATCTGCTTGCATATGCTCAAAAAAAAAAAAAAAAGAGAGACAAAAGCAGCATCAACTAAATGCAGTGTGGAGAGACCTTCTTGGGTTTTGATTCAAATAAACCCTATATGACCTCTGGAGAAAACTAAACACAGAATACATATTGGACAATATTAATAACAGAGTTAATTCTGTCAGGTATGGTTTCTTTAAGCCCTCCTCTACTAAAGATACATGCTAAAGTATTTACAAGTGACAGGTAATCTGAGATTTGCTTAAAATAAAATAGTCAAAACTAAAAAAGTTTGGGAGGGGCAGAGGAAGACAAAACCAAAATGGCAAAATGTGACAATTGTTAAAGCTGGTTTCTCTTCTATTTTGGGGTATGTTTGCACATTTTCCTAATAAAAGGCTTTAAAAAGAGGATCAAAGAGAACTCCTTGTCAAAATCCATAAGGATGCTGCCAAAGCTGCACTCAGAGGGTGAATCAAACTTTTAAATTTTATTATAAGAAAGAGTGAAGATAAATGAGCTAAAGCATTCAAGTCAAATGGAAAGAGAAAATCAAAGAAAGTAGAAGTAATAAACAAAAGAACAATTGGTGAGGGGTGCCTGGGTGGCTCAGATGGTTAACTGTCCGACTCTTGATCTTAGCTCAGGTTTCCATCTCAGGGTCTTGAGTTCAAGCCCCATGTTGGGCTCCACGCCCAGAATGGAGCCTAATTAAAAATAAATAAATCAATAAAATTTAAGAAAAGAAGAAGAATCGGTGAGATAGAAAACAAAAACAAGGGACGCCTGGGTGGCTCAGGCGGTTAAGTGTCTGCCTTTGGCTCAGGTCATGATCCCGAGGTCCTGGGATAGAGTCGCACGTTGGGCTCCTTGCTCAGAGGGAGCCTGCTTCTCCCTCTGCCTGCTGCTCCCCCTGCTTGTGTGCGCGCGCTCTCTCTCCGACAAGGAGATAAAATCTTTATTATAAAAAAAAAAAAAAAAGGAAAACAAAAACAAAAAATAGGTGATTCGATCAAAGCCCAAATCAGTTTCTAAGAAAATAGCAATTAAAGAGCTGTTAACTCCTTCTAGTCGGACAAAGAACACACACAGAATACAAACTCACAATGATACAATACTATCCTTGCTTGGTTTTGAAGTAAGAACTGCTGCAAATGGCAGGAACTGTATCTTCTGGTAGCTCCCAAGGAAGTAAGAGCTTCTTTGCCCCACGGGGCCCTCACAATTTATTATTTTTGTATCTCACTGGCATTAATTGGGTTCTAAGCCCATCAAGGGACCGATAACTGTAGTCAAGGGACCAAGGAAATGGGATATGTCTATTAGCCATAGCCAATCAGGGTCTACCCATGCAGCTGGGTCATTTCATCCAAAACACACAGTTTGTACTGGTGGAAAGGGTGATCCCTAGAGGCAAATCAAGGCTCTGTTTGCTTCCCCAAACAATGAGTGGGTGCTGCAGAGAAAAGTGATTCTTCACTGCAAACCAGTTTACAAACATGGAAAGTTTTGTTTGTGTTTTTTGTTTTTTTTGAGGGAGAGAGAGAATATAAGTGTGTGAGTGGGGCAGGGAGGGGCAGAGGGAGAGGGAGAGAATCTCAGGCAGCCTCCACGATCAGCACAAAGCCCAATTCGGTCTCCATCTCACAACCCTGAGATCACGACCTGAGCAGAAATCAAGACTCCAGTGCTTAACCAACTGTGCCACACAGGTGCCCCAAACACGGAAAGTTTTAAACAAAACACCAGACCAATAAATCCAGCATTTAATTTATAGAGTAAGACACCATGACTAGGTAGGGTCTGTTCTAGGGATGCAGTAAGGATTCAATATTAGGAAATGTATGCATCTCGGGGCGCCTGCGTGGCTCAGTCATTAAGCATCCGCCTTCGGCTCAGGTCATGATCCCAGGGTCCTGGGATTGAGCCCCGCATCGGGCTCCCTGCTCAGCAGGAAGCCTGCTTCTCCCTCCCTCTCCCACTCCCCCTGCTTGTGTTTCCTCTCTGTGTCTCTCTCTGTCAAATAAATAAATAAAATCTTAAAAAAAAAAAAAAAGGAAATGTATGCATCTCAATTTATAGCTCATAGGACAAATAAACATACGACTGATAAAGGGCCCTTTAAAAATACCCAAAAGAGGGGCGACTGAGTGGCTCAGTTGGTTGGGCATCTGCCTTCGGCTCGGGTCACAATCTTAGGGTCCTGGGACCGAGCCCCGCTTTGGGCTCCCTGCTGGGCAGAGTCTGCTTCTCCCTCATATTCTCCCTGTGTTCTCTCTCTCTCCCTCTCAAATAAATAAATAAAACCTTTAAAAAAAAGTACCCAAAAGAATGAGGAAAGTCAATATGCAGTCCTTGCTTCCTATGGAATTTAACATCAGGAACAGAAGAAAATGGCTACATGAAGGATATTTCCCAGAAGTAAAATACATCCTATTTAGAGTAAATCTAAAAGTATCCTATTAACATAAGTAACAAAATGGCAAAGATGTCCACTGTTGACACAGACTGTCAAACATGCAACCGAAGAAGACATAACTAAGCAAAGACACAAATGCCACTATTTGCAGAAGACCGTCATCTAGAAGTCCCTCTATCATAAGGAAAAGCTAGTAAAACGGAAGGAAGTTCAGTACGTCAGTACTGCAAAACACACATGGACAGCAAAGAGACATCACACAGAGCAGACAACTGTATGAAGATGGAGGCAGAGGTTGGAGTGATGTGGCCACAAGCCAAGGAGCGTGGGGGGAGCTACCAAAAACCAGAAGAGGCAAAGAATGGCCACAGAGGGAGTGTGTGGCCCTGCCAGATTTCTAGCCTCCAGAACTGTGAGAGGATAAATTTCTGTGTTTGAAGGTAAATTTATTAGGGCAGCCCTAGGAAACTAACCCAACATCCCAGTAGGGTTTTGTGTTTTTTTTTAATGATAAAAAAATTTCCCAGATTCACCTAAAAATAAAATCTGCCTAGATTATTTGGCCTATAAAAAAAGAGTTCGGATTCACCTAAAATAAGCAAAACACACTACAAAGCTATAGTAACTACACTTGGTACTCGCTAAGAGGAGGAAAAAGCATGAACAAAACAGACTGATGAGGATCTAGGAGTTTATCATTTGATGTAAGTGCCCTTTCAAATTAGTAAGGAAGGATAGCAACAAACGGAAGTGAGCCAATAATAAATTTCCACTTTGGAAAAAATATAAAAATTGATCCCTGCCTCACACCACACTCTAAAATAAATTCCAATTGGATTAAAGATCTGAAAGTAAAAAAATCAAGCTTTAAGGAGCTAGAAGATTGAGGAGAAAAACCTGTGATTTGGGGATGCAAAAGCCTCCTGAGGATACAGACTGTAGACACCATCAAGGAAGGTATTGACTCATTTGACCCTGTAAGAGGTTAAGAATCTTACACAAGCATAGACTATCTAATATAGAAATTAGGATACAGGGGCGCCTGGGTGGCTCAGTTGGTTAAGCGACTGCCTT